GAAAGAGAGAAATCATCCCCTGGGGCAGTGGCCATGCTGCAATCCTTTCTCCTTCATTCTCCTCCTGGGGTACTGGGCACCATGCTCCCAGTGTGATTTTCAAGCCACCGGGTCTGAGACTCAAGCCATAGTCAGTCATGTGAGAGTTCAGCGATGTAATCACTATGCAATCTGTTGGCCCCCAGAACATACTTTTTAAAAATTCTACAAACAGGGGCCGGCAGGTGGCATGGTGGTTAAGGGTGCTATATTCTCACATGGCTGACAGTGGTTTGAGTCCTGGACCCAGTGGCTTGCTTTCTCATTTTCTCTCTATGTCCTTCTCTAGTCAAATTTAAACAAATAAATAGAGTTAAATAAAATAAATGTTTAGAAAAAAACTCTACAAATATGTACAAAAATGGTTAAAGTATTCATAAATTATCGACCTTGAAATCACATGGGCAAAAAGTACTACCTTACATTTTTTTTTTTTAATTTGCCAGAATGTGAATGTGCTCACCCACTAGAGACAGAGACAGAGAAAAGAGAGAGAAAAAGAGAAAGCAACTCTCACAAGCCATGGCCATGCTGCAATCCCCTCCATTTCTCCTCCTGTTGGGATTCTGGGCAGGCATACACACACGCCTGGCATGTTTCTCAAGCTGCTGGGGCAGGACTTAAACTGTACATTTGGCTATGTGGGATCCAGCTGCCTTAATCACTATGCCACAGGCTAGTCTACTACCTTACTATAAAGAATTGATAGTTCATAAAACTTCACTAGATGAAAATGCTTTTCTTTAGTACCATTCTGCTGCCTTTATCTGTAGTGGCTAAGGAAAATAAGATATTATCACTGATTAAGACAGGTTTTTTATTGTAGCCACCTTATACACATTAGGGAAAAAAATCCATTATGCAAATCTGAAATGATCCCAAATATGTACATGGTTTGTTTTGTGAATTTTATTTGTTTCGCTATAACAAAATCTTGGAGTATATTCCCCCCTCCCTTCCATCAGGTGAGGTCTTATCAAATCCCATAATGAACATTTGGAGTAAGTGTTCCCTCCCCTAGAAAACTCTTCCTCCCCTTGGGAATATTACATTACTCCTTATCAGACTCCCATACGTGGGTTAATGACCTCAACTACTAAACTTCAAAATACATAAAAACTGAAGAATTTGACAGACACTTTGAAAGCTTAGATTATGGCAGGGGTATTCTCTGTCATTTCTTTGAAGAAAAATTCAGACTGTGACAGACCTGGGAGCTTTGAAGACTCACTTATCAAAACTGGCACCACGCTTTAGCATTAAAGGACCTTATATGTCATCGCTGATCTTTCTTATTATTTTTTTCTTTTTTTAAAGGTTTATGCCAAAGGGCATGGCTCACCCAAGAGAGACAGAGAGAGAGGAAAAGTGAGAAATCATCCCATGGGAGGATGGCCATACCATAATCCCTTCTCCATTCTTCTAGGATTTTGAGCATGCATGCACACATGTCCGTTGTGATTTTCAAGCCACCGGGTTCAGTACTCAAACCATGGATGGCCATGTGGGAGTCCAGGGCCCTCATTATCACACCACCTGCTAGCCCTTTCACTGATCTCTTTAATGGTGGTCAAGTCGGCTTCTCTGAGAAGCACTCACATAAAGATATACCTCAATCTTTAACTAGACTTTCTTTCCAGAGGCCTACTTCCATTGTAATTGAGCAAGTCAGACTTTACGTATTTTCAGAACTCACTCACTACTTGGTTAATATGCCTTGTCTGTAGAGTGAATACATTCCCAGTGAAGTTTGTTCTATTGTCCTTTCCCTCTTTAAACACTATGAACCTAAAAAAAAGTTATCTTTATATGGCAATAAACAATGTGATCTGTGAAATCATTTGATCATCTCCTTATTTCCACCACACACAACAAATTCCAAGTAAAATATGTAAATTTATAGAGCTATAAACTAAGTGTGGAATCAGAGAATCTGAGACCATTTGGACTAAAATCACTCATCTAACTAACATTTATTGAGTACTTACTATGTGTCTGAAGCTGCATGAGGCACAGAGAAACCAACGAGGAACAAAACTCTGGCAAATATTCGTGGCCTAACGACACTTACATACTAATGGCCATAAAAAAATGGTTAAAAAACAAGAAAGCAAAGAGACAGAGTAAAGAGGTGAAGGACCTTCCCCAAAAGAAAGACAGTTACTTAGCAAACACTCAGCCTATATTTCACCACTTCTGGGCCTATTTCAGATATATTTTTTTCCCAATATACCACAGAATCAATGAAATGGGGGGAAAGACTTTAATAAAAGGCCAAAATAATAAGGAAAACCTATCTTAATGTCTACTTGCTAGATTATGGGACTGTCGGCTAAACAGAAGGAATTCACATGAAACATAGACTCCACCAAATTTTAGAAAATACGCATGCTAAAGGCAGTCTGCATTGGACTTTAAAGATGCACTTAGTGAGCTAATAGATACTTTATCTTCTGTAATATCTGAAATTCCCGGAATACTTCTATTCAGAGGCCTATTTAATACAAACTGGTGGTTACAGTTCATATCACAGCATAAAAACACTTTCAACAGAATAATACCATCTCAATTTGTATTTTCTGCTTAACTCTAAAGAAAGGCTAGCAGCTACATTAGCTAATAGGCTTAACTACATTATCATCCCATTAGATGAAGGGAAATGGCTAAGGTGCTAGCAGTTTGTACACAAAAGGCAGCAATAAGGTAACATGCCTCCAACTGTCTGCTTATCAAAAGGATCTATCACTAGCTTTCTTGAATGGTTAGCCATCTATTTGATACACTTCAAGGCTACTAAGCCATTAAAAATAATAAGTAATTTTATGTTGAATTGAAAACTGATGCCAAAATTCAAAGTTGAAAATACAAATGATAAAACAAAAGCTTCAACAGGTTTAAAAATTCATTCTTCACCACTTGATTATGACTGACATTTGTTTACCTTAATATCAAACAGATATACCACTCAATTCTCTTCTTGCCAGAGAGTATATGCACTCCTCAGAGAGAGAAAAGACAAAGAAAGCACCTTCCGATGGGGTGTGGTCACACTGCAATCCTTTTTCTTCTATTTCTCTATCCCAGTCAAGATTTTAGGCATGCATGCACAAATGTCCTGCAGATTTTTCAGACTGTGGGGCAGGATTTGAATCATGGAATGGCCATGTGGATTCCAGCTCCCCATGCTCTCTGTGCTTACCTACGGTGCTTCAGAGCCAGCCCTGATTCTTTTTACAAAAAAAAATTATTTCAGTTCTACAAATGTCTACTGTCAAATGTACATAATAATCACAATGAATTCTTAATTTTATTAAAATGATTGAGAAGATAAAAATTGAGAAGAACTAGATACTTACACCACTGGAAAGGAACTGAGCATACTTTACATGAGGCGGATCAATATTATTTCCAGAGATGAGCAGCGTTATTTACCATCCTATAGAATAAAGAAAGAAAATTCAGAAATACTTGTCAATCAAATATTTAATATAAATTTTGATACTATAACTTAAAGATCTAAGGGTCAACAATAGCTCGTTAATGTTATTAAAAATCACTTTGAATTCTGAAACATTTGTTTAAACCAAGATTTAAAAAAAATGCCATAAAGCTTTCCAGATAATTAACCTGAAAAAAAGTAAGTTTAATCAGTTATCAGACCAATGAGAGGCAGATTTAAATATGCAATGGAATATATATATAACAGTGACAATGCAAAATATTTTTAATAATAATGTCAGTGTATTTATGTAAAATCCTATACACAAAACACATGCCGTCACGTGACGATACATAAATGTCTTAACTCTGGGGAAAAAGTCTGAGATCTGGTTCCAGGTGCATTACTTATTCTACAGCTAGCATAATCTTTAGTGACTTAATTCTCTACATTTCAATTTCTACATCTAGAAAACAGAGATAAAGCATAATAACTTCATCATGGAGCTACTAAAGAAGTAAACAAACAAACAAAAAAATTTTAAATGTCATGATAAAGCACTTCACAAACTACCAAGAGGTAGGTAGGGGCTGTTACTACCAATTGAAATAAAGAGTGGTTTGTCCATGTTGCATTCAGATCCCTGAACATGGTGTAAATTAACAATGGAGTCTAGTTCTTCTGCCTTCTGATTTGCATTCTACTGCTTTATTCATTACCCAGTGATTTTGATCCCTTCCAATTCAGACATAAATCTTCACAAATTATGAATTCTACTATACCCAGTTTATGAGGTAAAGATCACGAAGCTGGACTTCCTAGTAATTTCAAACCATAATATAGAGAGGAAACTATTCCCGTTAACTCATTTAGAGTTAAGAGTACAAATCTGACGAAAGTTAAAAATGTTGATGTTAAAAAACTCTCAAATTAAAATACACATTTAGCACTGAATTATATTAAGCAAGGCCAAAGTGTCTAACATTGACTAATGCTCTATGTGAAATGTACAGGGTAAAGTTAGAAACATTTCACATTTGCATACCCTAAATTAAAGCATTAATGAAGTTCCTGTTGTAGTTACTTTTCTTGCTGACTTAAAAAATACCTGTCCTAAAAAAAGTGGATGTACAAAGAAAATCAACTGAAAATTTTGCTGATTCTACTTCCTAGGCTAAACAGTTAGAAGACATGAAAATGATTACTACTCAAAACATATTTTTCACTTTCTGCTCAAATTCTGTTAAAATATCCTGGGTAACTCCTTGCCCAGGCACAGGCACAAGGTTCAAATATGAGTTATGACATTATTCCAGCAGCACAGGAGCAAATTAACCTAGGGGAGGAAGGTGACACGCAAAAATTACAAATATATACCTCTCTGATAAAAGGCAAAGTCAATTAAAACTTAAAATATAAAATTTATAAGAATAACAACTCAGAAATTAATTTAGGTTAGAGAGCACTTCTTAGAGTAAGAGATCTGAGCTGTTGTCTGAGGAATGAGAGTAGCCCACCACCAAACTAAAGTGAATAGAGAAGTGAAAAATCAGTGGAGGCAAGATTACAGGGGGAGTAAACAGTTAAAAAAATATGATAAACCACATTCATAGAGTAATAGAACTGTGTAGCTGGCCTCTAGTATAGCATGTATGAGGAACAGAGAAGCTAGAAAGGGAGGACTTCTAGAATCGATTGGGGGCCAGTGAAAGTCTGGCAGGGGATCCTGACCTTAATTCCATAAGCATGAGAACCATGCTATAACTGTAAGAGAATCTAGGAAGTAATTATCAAAGACTCTCATTTCACACATGAGGAAAACGAGATTAAGTCACAAGTACAAAGTTACATAACTGGAAGACACTAAATTATGTCATGTATGTTTCATATAGAACATTCTAAGAACAGAAAACTAAGAAGGTAAAATGTTATGAATTCTCCTCTCTCATCTTTAGCCACAATTTCATAGAGTTCTCCTGGCATAGAAGATACATATATATATATATATATAATATTTTTAAATTAATAGATCTTTTAAAAAAAGTTTAAGAAAAAAATTAAAATGTGTACTAAAATCACATCTATGGGAATGGCTATAATAAAACACACACACATACAGAAAGTAACAAGTGTGGCAAGTATATAAACAAAATAGAACATTTGTGTGTTGCAAAACAAATCAGTACATAAGGACCAGCGGGTGGCATGGTAGTTAAGGTGCTGGACTTCCACATGGTCAACTGCAGTTCGAGTCCCAGACCTGGCAACTTGAAAATCACACCAGGTACATGTGTGTGCATGCCCAAAATCCCAAGAAGAGAATGGGGGAGAAGGGACTGCAGCATGGCCACCTGCTGGGGTGATTTATTTTCCCTCTCACTGTCTGTCTGTCTTCCTGCCTCTCTTTCTCTCTCTCTTTCTCTCTCCTTATTGTGAGCACATGCACTCTATGGCAAGAAACAAAATAAATAAATAAATAAATAAATAAATAAATAAAAGAAATATATTTGTAAAGGCTATTATTACATATAGTACTTGTCAAAATTTTATAGAAT